GAAATGAATGCAAAGAGAAGGTTTTTGAGAGAGGGAGGAAGGTGAGGCTCAGACATCCCGTGTGTTTCCTGGAGGAGAAAGAAGTCCCTGGCCCCCTGCCAGACCAGCGCCACAGAACAAGATAGTGCTCCAGAAAGGCTGGAATTGAGGTTTTTGACCTCGACCAATGCCTGTGAAACAGTAAAACCAGTAACAAAACCAGAAGAGCCCCCCCACCCCCGCCGACCATTCAACCACAAATTCCAGCCCATTGAACCACGTCATTTCAACAGCAGAGACGTTCTGAGTGGCATTAAGCTGTGCCATGTAGCAGCCTAGGCTCCCGATGTAGACAGCGGAGTGCTTCAGAGATTTCAAGCATCCAAGCCAGCAGCTGGATTGGCTTAGGTTTGTAACACAGAGCCACTCTCAAGTGCTTGGCCAGGCTCTTGCCTACGTGTTGAAGCAGCAAGCCCTGCACTTGCATAAGTAGCTTTGACAGGGCTAACTGGAGGCTGCTGCCAGAAGGGGTGGCCAGTCCCACCCTCCTCCTCTCCCCCATCTCTGACCCTGTCCCTTCTTCTCAGTGGTGAAAGCCACTGAGCTACCTGAATTTTATGTGTTCCTTGTACAGGGCAAGTTTCAGTCAGAGCAACAAGCCCGGGATTCCTCCCACCGCTCCAAGAGCTGGTGTAAGGGACGGGATAGAAGGCTGGGGAAGAGGGAGAAGGTGCAACTTACCCCGTAGCAGTAGTCTTGGAATGGGCAAGTCAACAGTGTAACCACATCTTGTTTTAAAAGATGGCAGCAACAATATTTTTTAAAGTAGTATTTTAAAGTCTGAGCTTTTCCTTTTTTCCCTTAGCTCAGAGGATCCCCACCACATTTGGCTTGTTATCTAGAGCTGAACCAATTCCTGTCACTTTTTTGCTTCTCTAACAGAAGAGAGAAGAGCAGCCCCTGCCCTGCTGGCAACATGCAGGCACCCCGATCTTGGGGCACCCACATCTCACCTCCCCTGGGCTCACCTGCGAGCGCAGCACACCCATCCTCCCAGCTAGGGGACACCCCCCCAGGAGGAGGTAACGCAGACTGTCAGGGGAAAGGGGTTTTTCAGTCCTAGGAATGAACCGGCGTGGTGTGATAGGATGTGATGGGAGGGAACTGAACTGCAGGAGTTTGGCCTGAGGCCTCGGGACCTCTGGAGAAGACCTCCTCTACCGTGCTCTTCACTGAAGCATAGGCCCATGACCCTTTTGCTATGACAGGAATCCTGCTCCTAAGGGAAACAGTCAGAGAAAAGGCTTTGATAGCCCCACGCTACGGACTTTCCTCGTCAGAGGAATATTATGGCTGTACAAGAACAGGCATCATAGGAAGAATAATGTTGCAGAGATAGAAAATGGAATAGCCCACACAGATCTATCAGCTAACATAAAGCTAGAAACAACCCTTTGTAGCTACATTTCTCGTGAAATATAAAAAAGGCATCAAAAGAAATTACGTCTCTGATTTCAGCCTGGAAAGACAAGTGTCTAACAGCTCAGCAGAGTGCCCGCGCCCTCGCTAACGCCACATCACCCAAAACAACTGCGCACGTTCTCAATTTACCTGGTTGCTTATTGCTTTGCCCTCCCATCACCTTGGTTGTCTCTCTGTATCTTAAGACACCGACGCTGATGTGGACATACAGGCAGGGCACAGGCCGTGAAGGGGGACTGGGCTGTGGCAGGGCTGTGGGAGCTGAGCTGGGGAGGCGGCAGGTCCTGGGAGGAATGGGCGCCTGCCCTCAGCCGCAGCACCGCGGAGCGTCAGCCCCTTCCCCCAGGTGGGGTGGGAGAGGCAACGAGAAGCTCGTCACTACGAGCTTCTAGCTCTGTAACAGCAAGGCAGGCACAGAGGCATGCGAGGATGCCCAGCTTCCCTCACGCCAAGTTTGTGGCTGGGTAAAACGAGTGCCTAAATAGTTAAAATAATTCCAGATTTTGCGATAAATCATTGGAGCTCTGAAGTGGAGACTTTTGCCTTGGACTATGGGCCGCCTTTGTCCTAAAACTGGTCAATAAAATAATGCTTTTCTAGTTTAATTGACTTATTTTTATCAAATAAAAGAAGTTAATTTAAATAAAATATGGGTTTTACTAAGGCTAGATCTATTGTAAACACTTCATTACAACCTATTTTGTCTTCAGGATGTTGGCATGTGTTTACACGTCACGGCAGCCTCTTGACAGAAGCTAGTGAGGTCTTCCCCAGTCCCCCTTTCCTACACTGCGGCTCGGCTATAAAAATCTTATTTTAGCCTCAAACGCTTCACCAGCCTCTGGACCTGCTCAGGTTTTTTAGAGGCCCTTACACATCACCCCTACCGCATACGCTCCAACCTTTGCTCTGTAGCTAGGACTGCTATTTCGCACGTCTGTCTGTTCCTCCTACGTTACAGAAGGAGGAATAATCTTACAGCATGATCGGAAAAATTTTACAGAAACAACCTCACTGTGAGAACAGGGAAATGTTGGATCTTCGATACGTATGCAAGAGGTACAACTAAAAATTACTAGATCCTTAACCTGCCCGTGACAATTTTGCTCTGTCCTGTTCAAATGAAAATAAGAGACAGAAATGATGTCATCTTGGCAAGTGTTATTTTTAATTCATTGGAATTTATTCTATATCTGTTTTCTTCCAAGCAATTGTACATTGAAATGTGTGCAGACGAGGTTGTCCTCCAGCAGTGGTCTCGTTTTTTGTTCTCCGTTTTCGCATAAACTCCATATAGATGGTAATAGACACATACATACACATATATACAGAAGAGGTACTGGCGAAAAGCAAGCTCTTTATGAGGCTGAGTAAACATCTTTCACTAAAAGCCATCTTTCACTAAAAATGTTAACAATGTGCAGGTGCTTCTATATTTAGACAGAGATTTAAAATGAAGAGATGGACATCTAGTGAATAGAGTATCTTCTGCAGCAGGATTTACACTATGCCTGGTTTTGAGGACTATTAGGGAGCTTTAATTCCCTGTAGGAAATCTGCATCAGGGCTGGGATAATACTGAGACAAGATCAAATAGTGAAGATTGCTTGTGAGAGCCCTTTTTTGTCCTTGTGTATATTCCACTATCCTTTTAATTTGGAGTGGGTTTTTTTTGGTAATAAATTGACACAGAGCTGCTGCAACAAGCTACATGTAAGAGTCTTTTTCCTATCAAGTATGGTATCAAGATTTGTATTTGGAAAATCCTTACAACCACCAGAAGAACAGAGCTGAGATTTATTCTGAACACAGCATTCATAAAAAGAGCTGGCCGGCCTGACAGTCAAAGGCCAAATCCTGCCCGTCTACTGGGTTGGTGCTTTTATCTTATAACTCCACTTAGGAAAATGGAGATATGATGGGTAGGCTCTTTATAGGATGGATTTTAAGCCTAAAACTCAAGTAACACCTTGGATCTTGTATATTTAAGTCATATGTGAAAGTGGTCCATAAGCTCCTAAGCCTTTTAGATGTTTTTGACAGAGATACTCAAGAATGTAACAAAAACACATCAATTTTTACATAAACCTTGCTTCAAAAAAAGGAGCAAAAATATGCTCATTATTTTGCTTAGCTTTTTATTCCATCATTATGGCACAAGATAGACCTTAAAGACAATATCACTGAGTAAGTCTTCAACTTCATTAAAATTAAGACTAATATGTTTTATAAAATTCTTTTGATAATGATACACTTTCCCTTACCAAGTGATAAAAAGAATTTTCTCTAGAATACTGAAGTACATTGCCACCTGCTGGCCATAAACAATTTTGCAATTTAAAAACACCAGAACGTGTATAAAACAGCAACATTTAACAATGCAACACACAGTTATTGAAGAAATACTATTGACCCAGACTTTGGCACAGTATGTGTAGAAATGCAGCTGTGAACTTCTCCCAACGTCGTGTTCGTTTCTGAAACTCTGTGTGACTCCCTTTCATATGTCTGTCTGTCTGCATTTTTCTTTCTGCTTCATTTTTCTTTTTGCTTTGTCTAGCTTTCTTAATGCTGAAGCTTTGTTATTTCAAAGGAAAAGCCATATTCTTTCTCAGTTGTTACACACCTCAATTTATTGGGTTTGGTTTTCTAAAATTTGGATTCCAGTTTATTGTTTTAGAACAATACATAAAATCATACATTTATAAATATATATATTATATCCTGTATACAAACATTGGTTTTCCTCTAGAATGGGAGGGCAGACCTTTGCACTACATCCTTGGTTGGTTTAGGCATGGCCTTGCTCTTAGTTGATTCTCTGAGCTGCTTCCTACCAGAATCTAAAAAAATATTTTTACAATCTTGTATCAAATTTTAATTAATTTTGTTTGCAAATATATTTCTAAGAAAAAAATATTTGGTATTTTCCCCTCTAAGCTCACTACTACCTTTATAAAATATATGGCTTTTCATGTTCCACTCTATTTTAGTGTTTTTCAATAGGCAGTGAAAAGAAGGACAACTTCCCCCTTTAACAGTTTTTTTTAATATAAGCACAGAAACCAGCTTGTGCACTTTCTATAGAATTCCAATGCATATCACGGTAATGTAAGTGCAGTGATTTTAAAAAAAGCAGTCATGATTGATTGACATCTGTATATGAAAACATAATATATGATTATCATACAATACCCATTACAGAATATACAATCATCAAAACTGCAGATATATAAATACATTTTTAGCAACATCAAAGCAACAGTTTTATCTCATACACAGCGTATGCATACAGAGTTATTAGACTAAAATTTTCATCTTGTTTTTTCCTCAAAAGCTTGCTGAAAAACAGGAACATACCATATTTGTAAATGGACTGCTTGACAGTGCTGTTAAGAAATTAAAGTGAACAAAGTTTTAAAAAAGTATATGCAATTCAGTTGGTATAAAACAAAAAAGCCCTCCCCATTTTCCAATGTCACAGTTGTTTTCCTATGAGAGGGAGGCATAGGCATGAGTGGCAGTTCTGCAGAGTCCGATCATACGAGGGTTTCCGGGAGGGCATCGGGGTTATCGGCTGATAAAAGCTCCCAAATTTGCCACCTCTCCCTTTGCCAATCATGCCAGTCCGCCTCTGAAACATTTTTACTGTTCTGACTGTGAGGTGCTGTGGAATAGATGTGACCCGCTGGGGTGTGCGGGGCCGGCCGCTCCTGCCTGGAGGAGGCCTGGTCAGGGGCTTTGGCTGGCGGTCCTCCAGCTGCTCTGGTCCCTGAACTTTTTTCTTGGCGTTGAAGTCTCCACAAAGAGTGCAACGTTGAAGAAACGCTCGATCGCTGTGACAACGCAGAGCTTGTTTTTGCTGGGCCTGGGTAGGGGGGTGGTGGCCTCTCTTTTCTGTAGGAGGGCTTGGCTGTGGTTTGTGAACAACCCGTGTTTGAGTCGTGCTCACTGAGGTCCTCCATACTGCTTAAAGTCAAGTGCCGCTCTGACTTTGAGTGTGACAGGTCTGAACTCCTACTGCCGACTTCGATTTGTGGGTTACTGCACACCCGAGACACCGCGGGATGGAGCTGACACTCAGGAATGGCAGCAGTCGTCTGGCTCCTTCGCATGACCTGCCTGCCGTTGTCCAATTCGGATGAGCTGCCCTGCCACCGAGGAGAATACATGGCGAGGTTCCCCTGGGAAAGAGAGCACTGTCCGGGTCGCAGCAAGCTGCTTTCGTAAATGTTCCCGTAAGAACCTGGGGGCCAGAGTCAGAAAGACAACATCAGTCTGCGTAATCCTTTGCGTGGCATTTAATAAGTTACTGCTTTTCCCCTGCATCACTATGTCGAAGAGGGATGGGGACTTTTATCATCAGGCTATGCGACTGAAGGTGGAACAGCCTCACCGCTGGCTGAACCTGGGGACACAGAGCAGCAGCCCTACATCTGTCTGAACCATGTCTAATATATTACCCCGGGACTCATACTTTGCTCCGACATAAGGCCTTGCAGCACTTAACATCCTTCACATGCTTAAAAAGCAGGGGGGTGTTTTAGTCTTGCAGTTCCTCTGTGAGGTGGGTGCAGATGGGAGAAAAACAAAGGCAGGACGGGTCAGGGACTTGCCGGGACCACGCCAGCCAGCGGCAGGGGCAGCACCCCGGGGGGCCCACCCCCAGGGCAGGAGGGGTCAGGGCCTGGCCGGGCCCACGCCAGCCAGCGGCAGGGTCAGCACCCAGGGTTGCCAACCTCACAGCCTGTGCTTGTGCCACCGCAGCAGCCGCGCTCAAATCCCCACCGGGTGTCCACCTTCCAATGACTTTTAGAAGAATATAAAACTATTTTTTGAAGCAATTTTGAAACGACTTTTTAAATTATCTCGTGATGGTTTGAAATGTCGCTGCATTTGCATAACAACCACTGCGCTTCTCTGTATTTTATTAAACAGTCACCTTTTAAAAGTCCAACTCTGGACAATGTGAATTCTCCTACTGGTTTCACTGTGATTTCTCAAAACCAAGAAATTGTTTATGTCTTTGCTAGATTTGGGCTTAAAACTTGAGAAATAACTGACCTGTCATTGCTGGATCTTTGCAGCCACTTTTCAGCGTTGAATGCCAGGTGCCCCAGATATCAAAATGATCTTCCGAAACATCTAAATAGCAGTAAGAGCAGGAAGAAGATGACAAATCGATCCTCTTAAAGCCATTACTTAGAAACATACAAACAGAATGGTAAAACCTTACCTAAGGTATCAGACTTGTTAACATACACGAGCAACTGACTTACCGTGCACCTAACACAAACAGCTCATATGTATCTCTTCATAGTTACTTGCTGTTTCAGGCCAGATCCTGTAACGGATTCAGTAAGCTCTGTATGGGCAGGACGCCTGAGTTTGCTGAGAGAGTGGAATTTCCCTTAAGTCCTCTGCCTTACTGAAGTCAGTTGGAGAATTTGCACGAGAACAGGAGGATTCGGTCAACAGAAGGTAGTTCATGTGCTTTTTACAGAAAGAATGGCAAAGCTCCCTCAGGCAGCCCCAGCCCCAGGGGTCACTGTAAGGCATGCTCTATCAACCTGCAGCATCGCTTGGGTCTTACACAGAAGTGCTGTCACAGAGTAGAGATTGAATGAAATGAGCGCATCAGGCATTGTGCTGGATTGTAACTGTTTCATGCCTTCTTCTGATTCCACCTGGCAGTAAAGGAATTTCCTAATTTGTCATGGTCCAGTATCGTTGTGATGCATATTGAAGTCCAAAAGATGGCTAATATGATAAAACTTAATGTAATTTCCTGTTCATAACTTACTAGAAATCTGACCAAATTTTGAAACCTATTCAGAGATTTAGATGCTGAATACAGAAGATAAATGCCCATTGGCATTTATAAAGCATATAATTGAGATAATAGTCTAAGTCCCATTAATTCCAAAGGGAATTAAATGCCTAACCACCATTTCAGTACCTCTGAAATGAAATGGTTTTAAGAATACCACCAAACAGTTATTTGCATCCCTAAGCATTGAAAGTTCTTAAAGTTTGGCTGACTAAATATGCATTTCATGAATGTAAATTATTTTTTTTTCTATTTTTAAATGAAAAGCATCTTGAAGTGCTGGTGAGCTATCAGGTTAAACCACAGTTCTTTACAGAAGAAATCATTCAAGTGTGCACTCCGTAGATAGCTATGGAAATTATGGATCCCTGCACTAGTATTGCTAGGTGTGTAATTGGTAGCAGATGTACAGCTGTGCAGCTCAGCTGTGTTCTCCAGTGAGAGGGTGTTGAGGTCATCCTTTTCAATGGGAGACAATTTGTAGCTTGACGTCTTAAAGTCTCAGATTTTTCTGAAGTCTGGACCATAACCTTACAGTCCTACAGAGCAAGACTAGAAATCAGTCTTTGCCATGCTGTCACAGACAGGTTGAAAAGGAGGACATACATAGTTCTATTTTGCTAAATAATAGCTCCAAGTTTTGAGAAATGCCATACAAGAGCATCCCTGACAGCTGGCTGAGCTAACGAGGAGGACTGAGCACAGACCCTTCGGGCTCAACACAAAAAAAGGATGTATGTCAGTCATTTCTTGTAAGGTTATTTATTTACACTATTGCTCCTCAAATCCTAGTAGCTGATAATACAAAAATGACACTTTTCAATTACTTCAGAAACCCCCATCAGTCACTGGAGGAGGAGGAACACAAGCAGGATGTACTCTACCTTTTCCAGCCTGTGATGCAGAAGAATTCTCCTTTGTCTTAGGCTGCAAATGTCCAACCAGCGTGTACTGTTCAGGTACCTTGTACAGCTTATCTGGGCTGCGGGCAACTTCTTCTTGCATTGCCATCAGCGAGCGCTCAGACAGTACCGGGGAGTTGTTGTCGTAAGGGGAGACATCTCCGCTTGAAGCTTTGTTGGAGTCTGTGGAAGAATGTCTTCCTCCTGCGGAGTAGGAACCTTCTGACCGCAGCATCTCAGGGCTCCTGAGAAATTTTGATAAACAATCTACTGTTACTGAAAAATGCTTTATGTTCACAGCTACGGGTGCAGTTTGACATCGTACAAATAAAATCAAATACAGGAGTATGATCACAGCTGCTGAAATGAAAACACTTCAGAAGCAGTACAGAGGTGAATTTTCCATGAGTAGAACTTTTGCCATGAAGTGGCCAGCAGAGGCCACTAAAAATCAAAAGATGTCGCTGTCAAGAAAGAAAACAACAAAAACCACACAACCGTACACTTCACCACAGGAAATTAAACAGTGAATCAATTCTTTATGTTACCTTGACAATTTAGCTTGTTGCAACAGTATATGGGCATGATAGGGAAGATTAGTTTGATGCTAAGCAGTATGCTAAAATCACTTCTTCCATTCTGAAGTACTACACAATCAGAGAAATCAAAACCTTAGCTCGCCCCCTTACGCTGTGAGAAGGATCCTCTTCTAGAGACATCAAAGGTAAATAAATATCCTACAGAGGACAAGCAGATGTATCTACTGTACTTCTCATGGGGGCAGCAAACAACTGGCTCTGCTGATAACTTCTACAACTTCTTTTACCCTTTGACCTTTACATCACCAACAGCATGGCCGGTTATTAATTTTGACAAAAAAAGGCAAAAGGCAAACAGAACTCCCACCAAAGTACAGCCAAGGCTCAGACAGACAATTCTCATTTTTGAAATGTTGGGAATGTTGAGGGAGATTTCTTGAGCTGTCGCAGTTTACTGCACAGACAGAAGGCAGTCTGTGAGTCACTGAACCTCCCAAAGAATATGTAGGAATACTCTGTAAACAAACATAACTTTTTTCCTATCGGTCCTCCCTAATTTGTATTTCTATTACTCATTTTTCATTTCTCTGCACCTTGATCGTTGTTTCTTAGATGCTTGTCTTTTGCTTTTCTTGAGTCAAACACTTCTCTTAGTGACCTCATGTTAATACCTGCTCTAACTGAATGGGATACAAGAGGCTTATTATTGTAAATGTGTACTGAAAATGGTCAGCCCTTTGACTCAGAGTCAAATCCAAAAAGAGCTTGAACTGAGTGAGCAGCCAAAGCACATTACTTGTTATGGAACAATAACCCTCTTCCCAGACAAACGAAATAAATCTGAAGAAAGAAAATAAAGAAAACATACAGTGGTAAGACAGGCTAGCCCCAGCACACTAAATATTAATACAGAAATAATGACAAAACTTAATACCACTTTCAAGCTGCTGGTTTTTTTCCTGGCCGATTTACATATTGCATGTCCCAAAACAAAATATATACATTCGACATCTTGATTATTATGTTATTCAATATTCCATTTTTTTTTCCAGTATAAAAGCAACCATAAAGTGTTGGGAATCAATTAACTAAGTTTACTCCTTGGTAATTCCCAGCAAGAAATCCATCACTGAACTGATCCTGAGCTTTAACTGGGGCCAACGCGAAAAAACAGAGCTGCCGTTTGGCAAAGTAGCGCTGTCTCAGGCTTCCCAGTGTGGTGGGTATGGTAATGTTGGAGAGTCATTAAAAAAAAAAAAAGTAAATCATGCCTCAATTCCCATCTCAACTTCTCATCTGAAGATCAGTCCAACGTAAATTAATCTATAAACAGCCACACACTGAAGAATTGCTGTCTTTTAACTATGTACAATTCTATCACAAATCTTTTTTCTCTTTTTTTGTCTCTTGCTCCCTTCTTTCTGCCCTCCTAAGTTCTAAAAAAGCTTGTTCAGTGAGTGTGAGTTAAGACAAGATTTAAGCAATGTCTTGGGAATTTTAGAAGAACCAGAAAGACCTGAGAGAAAAGGGGAGAAATGTTGGTATCTGCAGGTTTCCTACAACCAAATGTCTTTCTCTTCAGCTTTCTAGACTGAACGTCATCTAAACCTCACCCTGCTAGCATACAGACATACTTAGCACTAACGGTGACACCAATAAGGCTTATCGCATGTAAATCTTTGCAGGATCAAAACCTAACTATATTGCACAGGCCAAAGAGAGAGGTATACTCCACTTAGCCATGGCAAGGTAACACAAGGAATAGGGGAAAGGGAAATGGAATGAAAGAATGTGGGAACATAAACTTGAGCTTTGTGAAACACTGATTTCATGTCTTACCTTGAATGATCTGTTATAGTCTATATCTTCTCAAGACAGAGCTCCTGATAAAAATTTACTTGAATGGAAACTGTCAAGTCTTTGGAAAGATCCAAATGTTCAAGTTTCTAAACTCATTTACAGTTTCTACTAGTAAGCCCATGCAATATACATATATAATATCACTTTCAAATTTGTTTAGAAAAAAGTTTTAAAAATCAAAGAAAATGCCTGTGGACTCTGCCAATCTTACTACAAGAAACCATCAAAGTGGATTGAATACTTTTATAAGTTGGAAATCGATCTCATACTTTTGCAGCTTTACCATGCTCTTCATGAACAAAATAAAACACAAATTGCAAAAAACTTTGACTTGCATCTTTCCAAATAAAGAATGAATTCTCACATATTCCTTAAAACAAAACATTTGCATCTGTTTGCTTTATGGTTTGAGTTCAGTAGCAAATGGATATTTACTAAAATTCAAAATTCATCTTCCCCTGGATAGCTGTGTGATTCTCTACCCACACACTGGGGAAAAACTAAATTGGGAGGCAAATGTAAATACTGCACAAGACACCCACTCGCCTATATGCAGTCTATGAATAAGGGCAGATTATGGTCTCCACAAAGAGTAATAGAAGACTATGTACTATCAAATGTGAGAAATGGGAAGGCAAGTGAAGTATTTTCTAGTGGTTATGAACTATGTTAAGGAAAAGATTTTAAAAGTGGTTACGTATAAACTGAAAGATTTGAAAGCTGCAGAAGGAACCTATGCCCCATGTGTTCAAAAATACTATTTCAGATTCCAAAACAAAAATCAACTATGCTATGAAGGAGTCTTGGGCTTTCCTTTTTAACTGGCATCCTTCTGAATTGATGTTATCCACCAAAGTCTACTTGCATGGGTGAACTGGAAAAATGTTAATACTTCTACTGGGGATATTCCTAGTTCTCTACTGCCATCAAGGTCATCAAAACAGGAAATCCCTTTCTGTTTTTGGCAGAAATCCTTTTCTGTTATACCTTAAAGCTTCTGAGTGGGAAAACAATTATAAGAGGTACATCATACAGAGTGTGATGGCTTGGCAGCATGCAGTAGTAATTTCCCCACATATTTGAGCAACACAGGTGGCACCAATGAAACAGATTATTACGGGATTATGATGTGGTTGCCACTGTAACAGGGTAGAGGACTCAATGACTTAGGGAGCCTCTGCAACTTTGAAAACTGCATTTACGCACACTGTAAGGCCTATTGTATGGCTTCATCTTTGTGCCACAGGTTAGAATGGATTAAAACCCATCATCACCATCCAAAAACATTCTAAAATTCTGTAACTTTGAAACTCATTTACTCTAACAGGACTACTAGCCATGATAAACAATAAATCATCATAAGAAACAGATTTTATTTTTTGTATTAGTTTAAAGATGCTTCATCTTACAGCTGGAAACCCCAAATTCCATTGTCATCAAGCCAACATACAAAAAAGTTGGGAAGTGATCCACAAAAGCACACTTCATAATTGCTGCCAGTGGTAATTAGTGCTTTACCATGAACGACTCCCATAAACTCCCTGACACACCATTCACAATGCTCAGCTCTTAAGAGAACTGAAAGATGAGGAACATCTGATTTGTCCACCTCTGGAGAGGAAAAGAGATTGTGTTTTCTCTGTTAGATCAGAGCCAAGAAAGCATTTGTAATGACATCAAAAGCAGAGATGTGAGGGCAATTGCAGAAGCAGGACCATCAGAGCAATTAATATGACATTAAAGTCTTGAAGTTGATTCCATACTCTATGCTATGCAGCCAACTAGCTTTTCTGATGAAGATTGTCTCAAGAATAGGTAAAGTTTTCTGTTCCACAGATCCAAATTTGGATCTTGAGTATTTGACCAGGCAACTTCCAAGAGTAGTAAGGATGTATTTTGGAGGCTCATTTTTATCAAGTCAAGACAAACATCTCCTTGTTGTCTGCTGCCTCACATTTCTTACAGGAAAAATAACCAACAAATATGTAGCTTCAAAATTGAGATTATGTTCTGAGATAGATTAATCTCTTAAGAGCATCACACTCCTAGCAATAACACTAAGCAACATTCCCTCTAATTGCCTGGAATATCTTAACCAAGAAGTTGCAATCACAGTGAAAACATATCTCATTAACATTAAGAACAAATCACTTACATGATAGCAGAGAAGAAGAAAAATGACAGATAGTAAGTTTTTCCTATCTCAGTGATTACTTCATCGCCCATTACTGAAAATACAATAAACTGGTACTAGTGTAGCTATATGTTCCTATTTGTTCCTATTTGGTTTCGTAACCTTTTCTTATAAAACCCCTTTTGTCAGTTGTGACCAGCTTTGCACAAAAGATCCATTTTCTCCTGTAGGTGTGCATGCTGGCTGAAAAGTAAGGAAGCTCAAGGAAAGGTCAATTAACTTAAAGGAAACACGATCTAACAATAATCTGTTACATCCACAATGATTTGCGACAAATTTATGCTCAATTGGTATGTGTAGCCACACGTGAGATACAATTTTATGTCTTTATATTATATAGACGGTGAAATCCAGCATGAAGGTTTTTATTAGCTTGAGTTAGAAATAATATGATCATCCCAAACTGAGAGCTTAAAGAAAGAAGTCTGTGCAGACTTTACCACATGTCATGTGATTTGCAGCGTCTCTCCTAATTGTGGTCTTGGCTCCTGGCAAATGTGAAACAAGTGTAAAAGACAGCTAACGTACCTCTAATTATCCTGCATTTATTGTGTTCTAAATATACACATGGTTCCTTGTCAGTCAGACATAAACTAACTGAAATTATTTCATGTCTGTGGTACACTAAGAAAACACACAGAGACAATTACCACAAATCAGATGATCTGTGATAATTTGCTACTGCGTGTTATGTGTTCATGTGGTTAAGTCAACAAACTAATAAAATCCTTTACAACACATGATATATTCTTCACATATTTTTGTTTTTAATTTTTATAATTAAAGAAAGCTTTTTCCTCCATGTGTTAATTATACTCTTTTATACCTCTTCCTTTAAAGCCAGGCACACTATTACATTATTTCCAACTATACAATGTTCAGAGGGAGAGAGAAAAAATCATAGCTAACTGACTGTACAAATTCAATTTTAATTATATTCTGAATGCACTAGGCACTTTCAACACACATAGGAAGACAAAGTCCAATCTGTCCCAGAGAGTTTACAGTCTAGGAAACCTCTTAAAAATTACTTAAAGCAAGCTTGTCAAATTTTGTCATTTTTGGGTCTGACATATTGGGATTCACTAGAATAAAGGCAATGTGTCCCATGAGAAAGCCAGGAATCCGAATGTACAAACTCATAGCGTTAAGGCACACAGGTGTAGGCATATATACACCATACACAAAGTTGGAATATGTTATGTATTGTAACTGCAACAGTGACTGGTGTGATTTTTTTCTCTTCAGATCTTTCACAAAGCATACAATTAAATAATATCCAAAGAGTCTCCATAAACCTGCTGTTGCGGCAGTTGACTTGTTTACAATGTCCTATGTGTATATAATAGGAAAAGAACAACAAACTGGTCAAACGGCTAGCCGTGATTGTGTTAAGGCACTCTAGGGTGTGTTTCAAGGATAGTGTAATACACGCCTCCTATTACTGAAGACTACAACAAACCCAAGACATGAACCAGCAGATCACTAGAATACATCCTGTCAGATAATAGTGCACTGAATATTTTTATGTACATGTCATTCTGTTCTCTGCAGCAGAACACAATCTTTCCTCTGAATCAGGAAACAAGATTTGTCTTTAGAAAACACTGTACAAGAGTCACAATTTCTTTGGCAGAGTCTGTGTAATGGGGAGGATACTTCACTGTAGACAGTGCAGAAGAGCTGTGGAAAACTAGAACCTTTTGAACACTTCCAGTGGGAGATAGAAATTCCCAGCAGAAACAGGGATGATGAAAAACCAGATTACTCACGATGACTGGGAAGCTTTCCTCCTCAACAAATAGTCCACAACATCTGGGTCGGTCTCTAATAGGCTAATAAGCACTTCATTCTGTAGGTCAGGGGAAACCTGAAGACAACAAAAAAACACTTAGTTGGAGATTAATATCCTTTCATATACATTAATTTTGGTTCTATGCTTAATCTAAAAGACCAAGTACAAATACATTTACAGAGAGTATATAAAATAAAGATTCAGAAGCTTCCACTTAAAAGAGAAATTTCATGTAACAACAGGTGAAGCAGGACTAAAGATCACTTTGTACAATGTCAAATGCTGATTACTGTTGAATAATCCATTGGTATCCAGTTGGGCATTACATCTGATAACAACAGTGGGATTACTCATCTATCGCAATCTCAAAAGCTCCCGTTTAAGGTCCTCACATTCAAAGACTGGGGGACATTTACAAATTTCCATTCCAAGTGATGTACTTCTCTCCTTTTAGAAACAATGTGAAATGTAATTACACAGGAAGGAGAATGTTTTCTTCATATATTCTGTAGCATTTACTTATTTATGTCCTTCTCATGGAAATTTCATGGTAACTCTATCTGTGACGTTCTTCAATTGCTTCATTTCAGTGAGAGCTGCCAAAGGTCAACATTTTTCTAAATGAAGCCTTATAAACATTTAATGTTCAGGTATCCATATGGCCAAATCCTGGGATCTAGAAGCATTTAAATTCCTGCTTATGCTCAATCAGAACTTGAGTAATTAGAGTTCATCTGTCCATAACTCAGATTTACAAGTGGGTCCTGCTGGATCTCCAGCCACTCTGGACTTCGGGTAGTAGCAACAGGCTCAGCCAGAATCTGTGTTATCTTCTTTGGAGTTTGGCCTTCTGATTTGCTAACTCTCTCTAGTGCACTTTATACGAAGATGAACCTTCAAAACACTTGATAGCTTCATATAGCAACATCTCCTGGGCAGGTAGCAAGAATGGCACTCCAAAACCTGCCCAAGTAAACTTCGTGCTTCCAACTGCATTTTACATGAGTCTTATCAATCCTTAAGTGAGTTTGTCTACATCACAGTGGAACATTCAACTCAACCTTCAAAGCACTGAAACAGATGAAACCATCTGAGAAACTTAACTAACAGCCCAGGTTCACTCATGACGGATGGAGCTGGAGGCAAGACAATCTCAGCAAGGGGTCATCAACTGTGCAATATGCTTCTGGATGCAATTTGTCAGAGCCTGAATCTCTTGACCTTCAGGTCACACTGCATGGGCCATTTGTTCTCCCTGACATTTCCTGGGAAATAGGAATAGAATTACTAATAGATTCCTCAGGGGAATACCTCAGTTTGGGAGGTATTTAGGGAGTCAAGTTACAGAAAAGGCATATTTCTTTAAAAAAGGAAATAATTTGAAAATAAATGAAGATACGCATCCTTTAATTCAAATTGGTCCAAAATCTCTACGAAAAACTTGTGTGACCACATATTCCTTCTTTAAAAATTGTATTTAGCCTCTAAGCTGGAAAAATACCTTACTGATGGTCATTGATATACCAGTCTTTAAAAAAATTATCTTCTCTTTATTTTTGGAAACCTGGTGTGCTGTAACTTCTCTGTTTAGACAGCCTTTCTATACAGTAGAATAAACTCCAAATAAAGTTTGAGGGTAAACCAAAATCCATGTCTTTCTGTATGTAACTTACTATTCAGCTTTATATCAAGTTGATAAACTTGTAAGAATCTACTGAGAGGACTTCATCAGAAAAATAAAAATGTATTTTCCGTTATTTAAAAAAAAAAAAATCAGTCTTTCATTCCATAAAAATGAATCTGAAAAAGTTCCAACAGGAAGTTCAGTTCCAACTGAAAGCATCTGCGAAACCCAAAATTAACAGTTCTATTGAGTTATAGGACTTTTATCTGAGTGAATGAGGGCATATTAATCTATAATCCTTCAACTGGATTTGTACTGACGGTCTCCTTGTTAGCTATCTACTGGGTTTTGGGTTTCCTCCTGTGCAGCAATTTACTTCAGTTTAGTTAACTAACTTGCAAGTGTAGAAATGATATGCATGTAATTACAAACTTACACTTATAGAGAACTACTATATTGGTATTTCAGGAAGATGTTACAAAGCTGCAATAACTATTATTGAATTAATTGTTTAACTGGCAGTTGTGGCTGAGTAGATGGATGAGAACTTGAAATTCAGGGGCAGAAGCGAAGCCAAGGCACTGCTGAAATAACAGCTGTTGCAGCTGTTGAGCACATACTGGGATGCATCAGAGGGCTCTGGGGTTGTCAGGACTCCAGCAGAGTAAGAAATATTCTGAGATTTTGGGGCTGGGTGCTACATAAGAGTCACAGCTATTGAGACACAGAAGGGTAGAAGGAACACTGAAGTGTCTCCTTTGTGCTGTCCCTCACTACTGGTATGGCACAGAGAGGCAGCGTGTGACTGCCTCTGCAGCGGGGAGGCCACAGTAGCCTCTAACAGTAAAAATAAGAAATTTCAGACACTATGTAGTGCTTCTTTGCAGCAGGGCTGGATTTGGGTGCTAGGAAATGAAAATGCGTGACCAAGCTGCTCTTCTCCATCCTCCATGCCAAGTCAAAGCCAATGAGACAAAGTGTGGTTGAGTTGTGCCTCCCCGTATTCAGCTGCTGGGCATAGTCCAGGGATTGGCAAAGAACAGTCCTTTGTCCATTCTTGTAAAATATTTTAATGCATCCCTAAGACTCACTGAAATGGATAAGAATTGGATATGAAGGGCCTTAACATCAATGAAGCAAGGTCAGAATCCATCTTCTATATGAAATCCACAGGTTTGCATATTACTGATGTCGATGATAATTGCTTAATAAAAACAGTCCCCAGTATCCTGGGTTGTTCTGACAAAAAGAACCTTTCTGACCACCAATATGTCAGAATCATTCTGATATTGTGGTCTGGGTGCCACAACACATCCTGGTTTCCGAGGTTTTGTTTCACAAATGTTGTTCCAGTTTCAATGCTGAAGCCAATCAGAGTTTTATAAACTCCCCATACACAAAAGTAACAGGAAAAAAAAAAAAACCAAACACAAAAACACCTTAGCAGCAATACGCTGTATGTTATAGCTGTAGCTGAATGCTCGAGTCCAGATGTTTTTCTTTTTGTAAGTAGCATAAATGTCAAGTATAAACAGCAGTTCTGGTTTGGCCCCAATCCTATGGGTTTGGAAAATGAATTGCTGCTGCCTGATTTCAAATGATCAGAGTTTATTACAATTACATGTACAAGTCTTTTCCTTTCAATGCATCTATTATCAAATGATGCACTGGGCTAATTATCTTCAGAATACAGAGTATCTCCGTGCTGGCGATGAAAACATGAAAAAGACGAAAGTAAACCCTGGTAGAAGCTTTATAAAACACTAACTGAGCAATCTGACACAATCCTACAGATCAAGTATCATGTGTGAATTTACACATTACTCCAGAAAGCAGGCAGAACTTGCCATGTTGTTTGTTAAACACCCAGAGATGCTCAGCTGTTAGACATTTCTATAAATTTCACATCAACGTATTTCAGCTTTCAGGAGAGCATCTGAGATAGGTTTGTCTTTCTCTCACACGCAGCTAGCCTCTCATTTTGAAATCTGATTCTAATCTCCCTCCACAATCTGAAAAGCTACTCTGGAAAACAAAAGAAAACTCCTTTTTTTCTCCCACACTTCGTTTAGCCTTCAAATGAAAATGCAAGCACTGAAGAGATTAAAGGAATAAAGCCGTCACAATTAAAAGAGACCATATGTAGGTTAGTCTAACCCTAAGCCCCACCCTTTCCACACTGAAAGTCGGAATGTGTGCCTAATGTACTGAGATGTGGCTGTGCTGTAAAATGTTCTTAAAGAGAAACAACAATAAGAAAACTTCAAGTATTGCAAGTATTCTTATTCAAGTATTATTTTAAACTTGCTACTGCCATCCACACTTTGGGCCAGCAGACCTTCACACAAGAGTGCAGTTCTGTCACTTTCTTTTCCTGCTGTGGAAGGAAAAATAGCACCTAAAGTTTCCCTGAACTGTGAAAAGCATTAAAAAAAAAAAAAAAAAGATTGCTGAGCGTCTCACTGGAACAAGAATAAAAATAAAGCAAAGGATGTAATGAAAGGCAATACAGTGTGAGGGAAAAGATGAGAAAACCACAAAGAAGTTCATCTGAGGCTAAGACTGATAGGCAGGGCTCGTGACTGCTTCGTCATGCTCTTCTCCCTGTTGAAATCTGGTAGACACCTTCCTCTTACAGTACTATGTGGCCATCAGTCCCACATGCCCACAATCCAGGCTTGTCCATCTTCTCCCATCAAGGTATCAGCGCTCAGCCTTGCTGGAGCACTAAAGGAGGTCTCCAGCATGTTCTTCCTCTTGCTTTGGGAACCGATCTCCTCATCAGTGTAACATACAGTGCTGCTTAGTTTTAAGACACAACCACCAAAGCTATTTTCATGTTTTCAAGACGACTGGTTTTTTTAAGATATGTATGCCTACTCAAATGAAGACAGCATAGTGCCCACCACTAGGTCTGACTGCCCTCTGCTATCCCAGAGCAGGGCTCTCTCAGGCACAAGTCATACTGAGCTGACCTAAAATTGTGCAGACAAAAAGAGGAAAAGGTAAAGCCACATAATAACTGTCCAGGTAACTGCTAGGTACGAGGAATGTGATTTAACTAAGCTGCATCTTAAGTGACATGTCCAAGTCCAAGGTCATCAACCCTTTTATGAAGAACTTCCTTGATTCAGCAAGAGAACAGAAAGGAACTCAGGAACTACACAGATTTATGCTTTACTCCTCTTACCCAACTGACAAATGAGAAAGATTTGTCCTTCCTCCCCATCTAACCAACAAGAAAGTCTTTGGTAGGGGAGGCTGTTCCTTAAATTAACTAAGGATCTCTTTACTCCCTGAAGAAAAATTGGCTCCTTGACTTCCAAAACTGAGAGGTGAAAGGTCATTTTCAGTCTTGTCTTCAAAACTAATGAGCAATGCTGGTGCATTGTTTAGTATACAACTGGATAGCCAACTTCATCATTTCCACAGACAGACGGAAGATACTCTTGTCTACATAGAAACCATTCCAGACAAAATCTAAGTACACATTTTTAATACTATTGCTTACAGCAAAACATTCTCCTTTATAGAAGACTAGTTTTTCTACCAATAATAATTGACCCTAATTTAATGCAGTTTCCAGAGTTTATTTCACCCTAGTCTACTTTAATACCAACCAGGTATTTCCTCATTTAACTTAAAAATGCATAGAAGTAATGTGAAGAAACATCCACCTACCATGAAAAGGGCTTCATAGTTTTCAATCATCTTTTGTACGACAGCTATGATAGCAGTACTCTCTTCAGCTCGAGCTGAGCTCTGAACTGAGAATTCTTTGTCTGTAGATTTCTGCTTGTGCAACAAGTTAGGGCCAAAGATGGTAGCCAGGTTAAGTGATGTCATTTTGTTCCCAGTAATCTAGAAAACAGAATATAAATGAGGTGGGGTCTCCCAGAATCTAATGTATACAGATATGTATATACACACCCCTACACATACACCCCTACACACACACACTCTCTCTCTCTCTCCCCCCCACCCCCGCCCCTGATTTGGCAGATGGTTCATTCAAAACCAAAACCGAGTGCTAGTCAAATAAAAAATGAACAACTTTTTTAGAAATGTTCAAACACCTTGTCGGACATCTCTGCAACAAGCACTGTGGATTTTCTGGATATATTTTCAAATGGATTGGAGGAGTAGAAGGTGTAAGTGCTGCCTGCCCTTAATTCCCTGGAAGCTCAGCAGTGGCATACTTCTTTGGAGCTCAGGGAAACCTCCCTCCTGCTTCACCACCTCAGCGTATCAGTGTCTCTTCGGACGAAAAACTGAAAAGTCTTAGCTTTCTCAAGTAGCACTCATGATGTGAAACAGATACAGTGAGGAAAAACACACTTTTCCATGTTTAAACAGTTTAGATAATTAAGGAGCACGCTCATTATTTTCATTAGTATTCTCTCGTCTTTTTGCTTGTTTCCTAGAATATGCCAAATGTTGGGTGGATTGTTTTGTTTTGTTGTTATTTTACTTTTTTCCTACTTTTATAACTGTGCTCAAAAAAGCAATAGTAACCTGATTTTGGAGGAAGTAGAAGGCTAGGAATACATACTAGACTAGACAGAGATTATCTGAAAAATATGTCATATAGGTTATTAAATAAAAATTTTAATTGTTGTATTTGTGATTATACTACTTTTTTCCCTTTCTGTTCTTTCAATAGAGCAAAAAGCAGGGGTCATGTGCTTCCGCTCTGTCTCTCCACTTGGTTGCTATTCTGGGAATGCAGAAGAAGATGCCAGCAGTTTGACTATATAAGACTGTAAGTAAAATTCAGCTGTTGACCCAGCATTTCTTGCAGGCATTTTTTGAAGAACAAAAAAATATCATGAGAGTTATTTTTCATTTATTTCAGTTACATTTGTACTAATTAATTTTAAAAAAGGACAGGAAGAGGCACCAAAAGGAGGCAGTAAAAATAGCATTTCAAGAAATGAGTGGTACAAAACGAATCTTTTCAAAGTAGTATTTTAATTTTTTTTTTGTAGCTGGTCATTTACTGGATACTCTAGTCAAACTTACAACTGTGCACCAACTGCACCTGGTTTATTTTTTACAGCTCAATTAGAAAGCATAGACATGACAGTAAAAAGAGCTTTTCCTTTTATCAGTGGGACCACTGTGTAATCTTGGAAAGACATCTGCACTAAGTAGGTGCATGGGCAGTCATAACAAACATGTTGGCTCTTTGTTTAGAGACTCATCCCAGCATGACTGTGAGTACAGCACACTCCTTTATTTGCGCACCACCATGCACCTGGCTATTTTTCGGGTGATCTGCGTTTTAAACACTGTCAGAGTACTGAGCCACCAAGGATGTACAGGCACGTGGTGCCTCGAGTGTGCCAGGGGCAGCCTCTGGCTGTGCCTGGACCTGCATGTGCAGGCTGTTCGTACAAACAGTGAGTCTTTTCTTAAGGGTAGCCTTGGGGCATCCCTTAAAAATGTTGTGAATATATCCACTGAAATTAACTGAATGAGTAATTTTAATAAAGTTAGTCATCCATCTTCATCTTCGTAAGAGAAGGGCCTGTGTGCCAAAGCTTGGCTGTTTTCCTTCCAGTGATAGCAAACATTCTGATAAAAAACTTTCTCTTGCCCTGTATGCCTTTATTCACTTAATTATTCATAAATAGCTTAAATAATTGTGAGCAGAATACTGTATTATCTATAAAAGGTATCCAATTGCACATAATATTTCTGATGATTACAATACTGCCAAGATAGCTTACATAAATTTGCCTTGCCAAAATACCTGTAGCAGAGCTGAGGTACTATTAAGGGGAATGAAAATGCCTTTAATACAACTGTTGGGCCACACCAACTCTCTTAAGCAGCATCCTCTAGCGCTGCAATAAGATACTCTTGGGTACATTCCTGAACCAACAGAGAACTCTTTGCAGGACCAGGGGGACCATGACCTTAGCTGGCTTATACATGTTTTTAAGCACAGTAAAATTGTTACAAGCTGCTCTTTTAAAATGTTTTCATCATAGTGGTGTAGTTTTTTATCAACTCCTTGCTGAGGACAAAATTAATAGTATTTAAAGTGGATTTAAAAGTGAAATAGGCCTCGAAGTCACTAACAGCATACTGTTAGGAAGTTAGGACTTGAGGCAGAAATTCGGCAAAACTCAGTCTCAAAGTACCAATTGTTAAAACCAGTCAACTGTAAAAGGTGTCCATATTTGACAGAAGTCAGCAGGGTTTTCCATCTGCAAGACAAAACTCTCTAGGAGTTTCAGAAGAGTCTCAGAAGTAACCTCAGAAGTAGTCTCTGCTGCACATCAGAGGACAGAGAAGTCTTTCCCACAGATAAACTGGTAAAATTTTGTCAAGCAGTGAGAGATTGTATCCATCTCATTCAAAGTTAAGAGTTGCCACCTTTTGCAGAGCAGCCCACTAGTTCAAGCATTGTCCTGGTAGAAAACTGGAAGCCTGGATTTTCAGATCTTCTCCAGTGTGAACGGTGCAGATGCACACATGTGAATGCTCAGAAGCACAGCTCAGCCACACGGCTACGGGTGTTCTTGTCTATGTGGGGTGGACGCACTCCAACCTCTCCACTGAATTTGGTCCAGAATGCAACAGTAAGGAGGCCAGAAGGAAAACAGGCAAAGATGGACCCTGACTCCAACTAGTGATTAGGTCTGTCAGTTAAAAGGACATAGCTGGAGTTCCTGTCCTTTATTTTTCATTCTTCACTACCCAGTGCACACAAGGAAGCTAAGGGAACCAAGAAGTGAACTGCTATGTCCAAAGGTCATATAAGAAAGCAACAACCGAGAATGAAAAGAGAATGAAAAAGCATACTCTTGAATGCCTGACACTTCTCTGTGTGAGGTAATTTTCCATAGAATATAATAGGATAAAACTGGGGGAGAGAAGGATGGATAACATTAGACATTCTTAACAACAAGGTCGATTATACTGTGAATCTCCCAAAGGAAGTGGTAGATGCTTTACTGATTAAGTCATATAAAAATTAAACTTTCACAGCCCTAACAACTGAATGGCAAACGTGCAGGCAAGAATATGAAATCTCTCCCGTCTTTAGCAAGGGTATGCCACCATCGTGTTTGTTTCACAGCTTTAAAGATCTCTTTTCAGATCATGAATTAAGTGAAGTCAAAGGTCACAAGTGACCATGACTTACCTCTTGGCCATCTTTGTCTGTGGTGTCTTCTGCGTGGCCAGCCACTGTGAAGAGGAACTGCAGCAGCCGGTGTAGGGTATCGCAGTTACAGGGAGGTAGAAGATAAATGAGAAGCTGTAAGGTGCTTAGTTGTTCATCTGGCTCTAATACTAAGAGGGGAAAAAACACATTCTAAGAAAATCACTCCAACTAACTTAAAAACAGAAAAAATATACTGTTCTCAGCCCAAAGGAAGGCGTAAGAATAGCTTTGTTTAAGGATCATTTTCCTCATAATGTCAGAAGAAAAAGAGAAAACTCTAAGGAAATATCAAAAGTGTAACAAATACTGTTACGGGATTTTTGCCTTGGTTGGTCAACTTTTTGTTCACAGGTTCATAGGATCTTTTCTCAGCCTATAAGAGAGCAAAATCCATGTTGCACACTCCATCCCTGTCACTGGGCACAAAAATTCTGCTTAATTTTCTACTTACTCCATTCACTTAGGTATAGCTACTGGTACATACAACAGGGCACCGTTGGGAAGCATTCCAGTCAGATTTATGGTTTAGGCATTTTAAATGGGTTTTCTTACAATTTCACATCTTGCAGAGATACTGGGAGACGGGAAAAGCAACTAGAGATATAAAGGACGTTCTGCAACCATCATCACTTTAACCATCTAAAATGCAACGGTAGCCAGTGACAAAGGTGGGCCAGAGGCAGGATCTCAGACATGAGGGCTAGAAAGAATCTGAAGAACACATGCCAGGCAGCAGCATAAGCTTGAAGGGTCCATTTTTACTTTTGCGCAAATTTATGAGAGTCTGCACTCAGGTCTTAGGCAACACATTTGGGAGTAGTTAATACGATGGCTTTGAGAACCATTAACTATGATGAAACTTGAACTTTTGAAGCTACGTTTTTGAAGCTAGACTGGAATTTTGGTCAGTGAATAGCTCTAAAAATTAAAAGCATTAATGGTGCTGAGATACCAGGATTCAAATGGGAGTCTGTCTTTTTGAACCAATGACAGGATGAGGATTTAATAGATAACATGAATCACATCCTATATACAAATGCGAAAATAGATATAATAAGTGAAATCTTCGTTGTTCCTAGTTTTCTGGGCTATACTTACATAGTACGAAAACCAAGGAAAGACCTCAGCAAATTTGTACTATACAAATATTTGGAGCAAATCAAGGCTAGAGTATTAAATGCACAGAAAAAAAGAATACGGTTAGCAGACATTAAAGAATTCAAACAGGTAAGCTTTTGAAAATCAGTAAATCAAGATGCTATAGAGCTCACAGAGAGTGTTGATGAAAGGTGTATAAAGTTCTCTGGTAAGAAGCGGGTCAGGCATGTCACGCAGAAATTCCTTTAACAAAGCAGCAACATCATGAATGCTGTGCTCTTCATCTAATACAACATCTATGCCCCGGTCAAACTCTTCACGTAACTGAAAAAGATCATGACACAAAACCACAGTCACTTATTGTCCCAATTAGTACATCCCAACACAGAAAATCTTTTAAGATGTAGATTTACTAATTTTCACTTTCCAGATTGGACATGACTAGTTTTTGGTACGGTCAAAGACATAATTCATGTCTAATTGCTGCTTATTCCATAATACATAACTTAAGGTCTGTACCCGACTGTAATAAAATACAATTCTTTCCGGCTAATATATAGCACTCTTTTATGAAAAAATGTGCCCAAGTAAATATAATTTTTGCAGAAATGTAAGGTTAATATCAAAGGCAGAAACCAAGGAGAACAAGGAAAACCGCAAAAGAGGCTTTCTTATATCACATTACTGCATTATCCCTAGATTTTAGGACCAGAAAGACCAAAATTGCATTTCATAACATTTACGTTTTTGTACAAAAACATTAATAATAAGACAATGTTAATATCCACCAAACTCACATTTCTCTTGTGAGTTAAGACTGTATTTAAGCATAAGCAGTAAGCAGCCAGGTTCACTAAGGCTCCATGACATTTGTCCACACACATCTTGTTCTGCCTTCCTAATTTAGTTATATTCACTAAGTGATCATCAAGAGGGAGTTAACAAACAGCAAGCTAATACCATTACATGGTATCACTACTTTTTTCCAGCTACAGTCCTCAGACAAATTCTGTATAATTCAGAGGCATCACACTTCCCAAAGGCAGAAGAAATCCCTCTCCCACATCCAATATGCCTTATGAAAAGATAAAAGCCTGTCTTTCTGGAGAGATTTCCCAGCACCAAGAGCAGAACTCTTTCTTCAGGCTGACAGCTCCACCTTTTACTCTCTTTTAATTTTGAAAATAGTCAAGATGTTTTAAAACTATTTCCTAGGAAAATTTCTTATCTTTGCTAATATTATGAGGCATCATGATCTCACACATATCTTCTCAGAGAGTAATTATATCTCAATCTTACTAAACAAGAGGAAATTTGAGGTTATCAGCTTTCTTTACCAGGATTATTACAGACATATCAAAAAGAAGAAAAAAGGTAAGTCACAAGCAAACTCTGGGTCTGCGATAATCTGTGGCAAATCTTGATCACAGGCAATCTATCTTGAGTGTGTATAGTGTGGAGGAATGTAGAAAATCCCGTATTTTCAGTTGAAATTGTGCTTTCGTAACGGGTGTGAAAGGTATTCTATAAAAACTACAGCCTCCTTTCTAATTCATTAAGACTACTTTTAACATTATTAATATCAGTCATTACTAATAATGAATAATTACGCTATGAAGACCAGAATTTGTTCTTTATCTAGCATTATGCTTCCCCCTGCTGATTTGTGGTCAAAGATTTTCCAGTGCCAACTTGGGGATTTCATTCCCAGCTCAATTCTACTCTTCAGGCTGGTGGCAAATGCGGAACATCCCTGTGGAGCACCATAAATTACCTCTATCCAGAAGATTGCTTCTGCACTTACTGCCCAAAAGCAGCTGAGGAAACAGACTAGCACTGCATCAGGAATTCGGCCTTCCCAAATAGCTGTCTAAATCATAAATTGCTGTTACAGTCTTGAATATGACACTTCTGATCTGATATCCTGTGGGGCCTACAGAGATGTCCTAATTAGCACAACATCTAGATAATCATTGGTGAAACATGGCCACATTTCAGGCCCAGGTATCACGGCTATTAAAAACTGTATATTTCTAAGTTTAAACTTTAGGTCTCTCAGACTTCATTCACAGGGAATACTTTCAGACTTTTGGAAAATACACCTGGTGAACTACAGCATTCACCAGAGCTTAGGACATGAGAGCTGAGGACATCCGTGCTGGGAGAGGGGATGGGAGAGCAGAGCTCAGCCATGTCGTTCTTCAACCTCGGGCTCTGGCGGTTGATTCACCTGCAGAGCTGCCGCCAAGTCACCAGGCCTAGCACAGAGGGCTGCCCACCCTAAGCCCGGCAACAATGCTCTGCTCAAGCATCTGTACAGTTTCTGGGCACAAGCTGGTACCTGACATCCTGATGTACCAGACCTACCACCTTGAGTCAACACTAGCTCACTGAATGTGAAGGAGGCAGTTTGTAATAGATGCACTTGTTCTAGATTTTCTCTTCCTGCTCACCAGCCAAAAACCCTACTGCCACATGCATTTACTTACTTATGTACTTACTGCAACAAACTACAGTTGAAATAGGACATTTTCTAACTGGGAGAGGAAGGGAAATAAAACTATGTCTACTTTCTACACAAGAAAAACTAATGAACAGCTGCAAAAGCACACCAAAATCTGAGTACTGTGTTTGGCTTTCCATGGTTCAGAAAATGAGTGGAATTTTAATTGAATCCAGACTTTCCCATGTGTTCATGTTGACAGCATTTATTATTGTAACTGCAAGGGCCAAGCTGATGCTTCCATGTTGTTTAATGAAATATATTAGTTCACCTAATTCAATAAATTAGTCCATGTAATAGAATACGTAAATACCCAAACCTCTTGATTTCCTCCGCTTTTGAAAACACAGTAAAATTAAAACTGGTGAAAGTCATTGATGTTTGAAGCAAGGCTTAGTTTACAAGAAAATGATACAAGCCCTCTGCTTTTTCCCCAGAGGTATGATGCAATTGTACTCACCCCTGAATGATAATATGTTTTGACATTGAATGCAAATGACAGGCAACTTACTTTTCAATACTTTATCTAGTTCAGTGTTGATCTAACAACTGCCTCTGCAGACCATGAATGTTTTTAGCTTTGTGTTACACCAGCCACTCAGCAATACAAACTGCGATAGAATAAGCTACAAATCAGTAGGCTATACTGTCCTACCAGCCAAAATGAAGTCAGTTTAGCTATTCAAGGTAACTTTCCAGAGCGCCAAACATTATACTGTGTAGTTTTTGTAACAAAGAACTATTATTTCTGGGACCAGATGCAGTCAAGCTTTCTTTTGCATTTTTCTGTTTGATCTTTTTGGTCTTATAGTTCCTGGCAGGGGGCTTTTCCTGTAACTTTTCACCCCTTCCCTAAGCATCATGCAACCATTAAGCACTATTCTCTACTCCTCTAATTCAACGTGTATTCCCAACTTCTGGGAATAACAATGCAACATCTAGGGCCGAGGAAACACCCACTTCTGACTTTATCTTTGGAACCTAACTGTACACTATCTTTGCTTTTTCAACATTTGGCTGAGACTAGGACTTGGATGGGTCTGCTCTGACCTTCAAGTTTAACAGGGGTAGAAGAAAGGTGATGTTTAGGAGCAGCGATCTGAGGGTCAAAGAGATTGTTCTGTACTTGCATATTTTCTCATACTGTGAGTTTTCCAAAAAAGATTTACAGTTTGGGTTTACTTTGGGAGCTTCAGCTGTTTCTGAGATGTAATCCCTACAGTGTAACCTTTGGAAAATTTCATCACTGTAGTCTATTTGGATCGCCAATCCTGTGCTACTTCTGCAGAGCAAAATATAGAGAGACTGTTAACCTGCTGAGAACCTGACAAGGATTTCACTAGATGTAAAAGATGACTGGAAATGGCCTATTATGAGCCACCAAAAAACCAGTAAAGTCATTGACCCAGAAAGCCTGAATTTCACCAGGTGACGGATGGGGAGGAAATCACTTAAGAGAAAGGAATCAGGTTTGTTTGTATCATAGCTGATGAGGGAAAAGTGTATCCATATCCACTCACCTGTCTTACTCTCTTTTTTGAGCTTCCAACTCTGAATATTCCTACTGTCTGGAGACCTGCAAGTGTAGCACATCAGACAACTGTTTTATTGTTTAGTTTTCTGCTGAAAATTGCATTGAACCAAAACAATCTGGGCTATGTGGGTTCTTAAAAGAATTAAAAAAACACAATGTATTTCTCTGCAAACTTGTACTTACCACGACGAGATAGAACTCAGTTGTCTTGGTTTAAGAGGTTGTTTTTAAAGACCTCACATTACCTAACCTGCAAAACGGCATCTCTGTGACATTTCCTGTGATGCCATTTTGGTAGTGCCACTGCTACTCCATGAGGGACAGAGGTATGCAGAGAGTGAGGCACTGCTCAGCGTTTGGAGGTGGCACTTCCAGGACTGACATCAAAGGAAACAGGCAATAAAATAACTAAATACTTGGGCACCGAGCTGTGTCTTTGGATACAGGAAGCAGGTGGTGTTCGGGGTTACCTGCTGGCTCTATAGTGCCTGTCAAGACAAAGCTGAGAGCTTCCTTCAGACAGAAGTAGGGCACTCAGGCAGATTATGAGAGGGAAGAACTCCAGCTGGGAGTTGTGTGCAGTTTATAGGATAGGAACAGCTATTATATAGAGGGAAAGCTATAAAGAAGTACTGTTGTACTTCAGGCAAAGTGCAGAAGGTGTGCCACTTGTGTCATTTAGACTTAAAGTGATTTGGAAATGGGTGTTGCCTGCTGTTCTGTAAGAAATCAGTTCAAAACTTCTTCTAGCCCTGTAGATACTATCAGAGTATCAAACAAACGATAATGTGGTTGTTGAATGGACATACTTTGCTGAGTAACAGAAACTGAAAAATTTCAGAGTAAATGTTACCTTAGAGGTGACATGGTCTTTAGCAATGAGAATGTGAGTGGAAATCTTAAAGACTTAAGCAGCTGTGTACATAATATCATTTTACACAGTTAAGACATTTTTTGCAAGAGATGAAATTACCTATAAGCTTTGAAAAGTTTACGGTCTAACAAAGGCTACTCTGCAACATTCATTTTCTCTACTGACATAAAGGAGATGTAAAATAACCTTGCAAAACAAATGCCTTTTGACAGCCATGAGGCTACCCTTGCTTGCTAGAGATGTGTAGCTTTGCAGTGGTGTTTGGACTTGCAGATTTTCATCAGAGAAATTCAGATAGGATTCTGCCTTTTAGTTTTTAGTCTCAACATGACACCTCTCTTCAAATATTCTTCTATCTTTGGTTAACAGAAAATTACATTGATGGAATAGCAATTAGTAAACCCAGGAACTTTGGCAGGGAATCATCTGAGATGGAGATACTCATATTGGGCAAAAACTGGAGGCTGGTTACCAGTTCCTGCACAAACATACAGTATTTGTTTTACACTGCAGGTCTGCAGGAGGTCAAGCCTTTACAACTCTGGGACGTGATCCCAGGGAAAATAGGGAAGGTGAACAAGGCCAGGGGCTTTTTTGGCTAAAAACATAGGCATTTTTGTCATATAATGTTCAAAATGATAATTTAAAGCATTCGTGAGAAACCCCTAGGTGATTTGCTGCTGAAAAATTGGCCTGAAGGACTTATGCATACAGGCAAATATTTTCAGAATCAGAAACTTGGTCCATCATATAGCCTGGAATGATGTTGCTACAGGATTGTTGCTAGAACAGAAAGTCCTCTGTTATCCCTAAAGCCAACGAGCAAACAGTAGTGTCCATCTTCTGCAATCTTTAAATTTCTCAAATTCAACGAATCCTGATGACTGTTTTGTGGATGGCGGATTTAACTGAAAATTGAAGAACATCAATATTTGCCCCACATTATCTCAGATTATTGTATCGTGGGGTACTACCGTGCACTCCTAGAAAATGCACGAAAAAACATCATAAATTTTCTTTAAAAGGAAACTTTAATGTAAAGCAAATATTTTAGTAAAGAATGTTGCATAGAAAAGAATCTGTTATGACAGTGGGTTAAGTGGATTAAAAAAATTTATCACAGATGTTCAAGTGACATAAAATCACAGTATCCAAAGGATACTCAGCTGGATGGCTTTTTTGGCTGAGTCAGACACTTTTATGTTCTCCAAACTCAGCTACCCTTGTGTGAAGGGACGGAAGTCATTCATCTCAAACTTAATCATCCCCACACTTATTTGTCAGCCATGGTATCTAATCTCTGTAGAAGGCTAACAATGACTCTTTTTCGCAGTTTTCCTGTATATATTTTTAAGCAACATGGCTTTCAGTTATGTATTGTAAAAGCTTAGCATTGTTTAAATTGCAGTCCCTCATCTGCAAAAGCCTTTCATTCAGAGTCAGTAAATGATTTCTTTCTGGTCAAATTAGGCATCAAATGCATCATTTGGTGTTGCAGTCACCATTACTTAATGGTTTGTTTACTATCTGGCCATGTGGTAACTCCGTCTTGTTGTGGCCAAGTTATTTCAATTCTCATTAAAAATCTTTACAAGACTAAGATACACTGGGAGAGATGTTGAACAGATACCTCGATTAACTATTGTTTCTGCATTACATAAAGCTGGTGGGAGGTTTGTGTCTGGACGATCATGAAGTCATGAGAAGGATATTGGCAGGAGTTTATAATTCCCTTCGGAGAGAGCAGGCCTGAGCCTGAGGCTGGTCAGGAGGACTGAAGCCAGGGACAAACTGAGTAGCCAGCCTGCAAGCCTTGTAGTGAACAGGAAAAAGCTTCTTGGAGCTTAATATAATTTAGCATGGCATTTTTTTGTTTCTCTGAGCCTCTATCTTCAAATGCTGTTTCTTGTTAAGTCTTGCACTGTATTATAAACAGTTAATTTAGCTCTTACACCTTAAGATCTACTGGTTGTGAAGAATGACTCCAGGCTGACTGGCACATTTCAGACTTTCATTCTCAAGGTATGGGTAAACCCCTGGGGTGTGAAGAGCCGTTCCTGCAGAGCTGAGCACTCCAGTACAAGATGAATGACCTCCACGAAATATCTCTTCCCCTGTGCTGCATGAGCCAGTTTGCAAGCTCGTAGCATAGATCCTTAGTTTGGAAGATATCATCTAAGTAATTATTTGTGAGACAGTATCTTTAGCAAGAGGCAAAATAGGAGGGAAAGTGTCTGACTTTCAAAGATGTCCTTGCAATTGGAAGTGTATGCTTGCTTCTCAAAATACGCATTTATTTACATTATAGTAAAAATATATCTGCCACTCCTGGGAAAACGAAATATTCTTACCATGCTTTTCCAAGTGCTGGCAGCAACTATCTACAAGCCGGGGAACCTGTCTGTAAATAGGGTTCAGGCTTAGTTTTTTATCTCTTGCCTTTTCTTTCTTGCTCTGGGCTTCTGCTGGCAAAGAGAGCTGGAGAGCCTCTAACAATCGTGACTGATTGTCATCAAGATCTGTAATAGAGTCCACAGACATCGCACCCTGTAAAATATACACACATGAACAATCAGTACGGCTGGAGAAATCTAAATGCCACAGGATCTTATCTAACAAAGACTTTTGCCTACCTGCATTTTAAAAAAACTAATATAAAAATACAATTTGCTACACGGTTTTCGTAAATTAATGAAGTTATAATACCAGTGTAATGGATGAGGAAAATCACAATGATGCCAATGCTATTATTACCATACTACAAGGAATACAAATTAGGTATTGAAAAAACTAAATGCTTTCCACTCACTCGGTACACTTTTTTATTGTTGTAAGCCTGAACATATTGCAGGGCAAGGATGAATCATGGTGTGTGTGTGCACCTCAGCAGTACAATATTTATGTGCATGGAGATATATACATATTTTTAAACCTGATTCCCTACTTCTCCTGCAGCTTGGGCCACTGTATCAGTGAAAATGATGCAAATAGGTTTACAACCATACACCACATACAGTTAACTAATTACAAATACACACAACTGCATAGATTGAAATAATCCCATGTTACCACAGAACAAAGACACACCAGAGTAGAGGGGTAATATTTTTTAGGTAATTCTACTTCATGTATCTTAATATTTTAAAATCATTAAAATTCCAATGAAAGCTTTGAAAACTATGTTTTGCTTACAGCAAGGCACATAAATTCAAGCAGTCTGCAAAAGATAAAGCAGCACAAGCAGCAGGAGGTTTATGGCATGTTTCAATGTTCACACTTGAAAAATAAGGGTTTTTTTTTTCAAACCATAAGATCACTGTCACTTCAAAATGATCATTTCCCTCAATTGTTATTAAACTTACCAGGCAAAAACATTTTAGAGGACATCTAGGCTTATAAATAATAATAAAACAGAAAGAAAAATTGCCGGTTTAATTCTCATTAAAAGTATCTATTGTAAATTATTTTCTTGCTTTCTGAAACAAAGGATACATTTTACCATAACATAAAATGTACTGTACAGGGATCCAGCATGTCATCCTAAGAAATAATGAAGAAAATGTAAATTCCCATTCAAAACTTTGCTGACAACTCTAATTTCTTAAAAGCACACTGTTCTGCTGACAGGTATTTCACAGACTGCTGGTGAGATCTCTATGTCTATTAAATGAGACCTGTACAACTGATAGGGAATTTCAAGCTCTGGAAGTATGTTCTTCCATCAGCCTAGACAACTGAACTTTACAAAGATTTCCAATTCATAGACAACTCATACAAAGTCCACTGAGATTTCAAATGAATTTTAAAATTTTTAGTTCATAATATCTTTTAAAAAAAAGCATCTAACTTATCAGGTATAGTTCTGTTTCTTATAACTCATGGAAGACTTATAAATAAAACACAGTGAAGTTTTTAGATTTTTTTGGACCCACATCTCTAAACAATTACTAGACCCCTTAGAATGCAACTTTGACCCTGATTTCTGATGTCTCAGAAATACATTTGCTTGATTCCCTTTACCATTTCCCGCCAAAAGGAAACAAAAAACCCCCCCCAAAACCAAACAAGAATCTCTGGCTATGATCCGTGTGTGTAAAATTCCAACTGAACAATTTTTCTATTTTGTTTTTAAGAGTCTGGGCTTTCAGACATCAAAATTAGTCGACTGACACTGAAAATCCTCATACCATCCTCATCGCTGCAGCTCCCAGGCAGTTCCTGTACGACAGGTGCCCTCCTTTATACCCTGCCTTTACTGGTCCTTCCCTATCTGCAAAGCATCTTCACCTCATGAATCATTATTATCACAGAGTCACTTAAGTCGGATTCAGGTCCCTAAAATAGATGTAAATACAGTCAGTTCGCCATTATCCTTGGGCATTTTATCAAAGTTGTGGATTAACTGGGGCACTGAGCTGGCTTTAGGAAGAGTGACCTTGAGTTCAGTGGCTGAAGTAGAGCACTGCTTGGCAATACCAAGTCCAGGCCAGCTCTGATTTTAAATTTCGAAGTGCACAGGAAAACACTACCAACATACTCCACGGATCCAGCTCAAACTCAGCCAGACCTATTAGTTTGGGCTCAGCCAGATCTATATGACTGCTGAGGAACGATGCAGGAGTTCATGCACGTTGCTGCCCATATTCCAGGACTATTAAGACAGACACAGTGCTACTTGGACTGCAATGCCCAGCAACCAAAGAAAAATCAAGTTCCACCTACTAGGCACTACCTTTGCACATAATGGATATCAGTCCCTGCTCCACCATGACAAGCTCAAAATCTAAATAAACTGGGCAAGTCTTAAGCTAAGCACACAGAAACATGAAGGAACGTGGAGATTAAAGAGGTGATGGAAAGAGCAAAAAGAAAACGAAAGCCAGAGGGACAGGTGTGGAATCAAGGTGTGTAGATGAAGCCTTTCTTTACTTTTTAAGGGTTATAGAAGGCTTTTCTCTTTTGAAAAGATGAGCAATATTACAGAGTATGAATGGGATCAAGTACTATCCATGGCAGATCCATTTTTACTCCATACATTATGCTATTTGAGTAGTAAAGCAGTATGACTGAGCTCCTGATACTTAAATAAATTTGGGCTGTATAATATATATAAAAATAATATATTAACAGAGAGTCAGAATATTCTCTACAATAAGCACACAGAAAGTGCCTTGCTGGCTAACCAGGGTCTCAACTTCCAACTGCTGGGCAAAAATCCTACACAGAAAATGCAGCAACAGTGATTTCTAGCTCTTGGAGGAGGGATAACCACAGCACTCATACCATGAGCTCTGCAGCCAGCATTACCTTATATCCCTTACTGAAAGCCTCAGCTGAGTGTTTGAAGACTCACTAGAATACACAAAAGTGAATGACACAGTTGCAAAGAGGTGAATGGTACAGTGATAAATAATCCCTCCAATTTAAATTTAAGAGGACTGCACTCCAGGCAGTCCTGTGCTGTCTGTGCAGCATTTGTGTGAGAAACTGACTGCATCAGTTGCATGTACTAATGAATCATTTAAAAAAAAAAAAATTTTTAAGCATTTGCTTTGATACAGTTGAAAATAAACAGTGCAACACTGTTCAAGAGATAAAAGATAAGTGCAGGCTTCCTTACCATCCCCTAAAAAACCTCAGAGGAGCAGAGTAAGTACACTGATAAGCAGAAGTATAAAGGCCAAAGACAGACAAGATATGGGACTTGAGTTGATATTAATGTTAAATAACTGACAATTCATGAAGTACGTTACTGAATAACTGAGGTTCATTCCCGAGAGAAAATGCCAGCTACCTCCACGTCACACTGCCCACCTTAGTCTACTCTTACTTCTCTGTAGGTGAACCATGTGCTACTGCATCCTCATGACTATGGACTAAAGGCTCAAATTCAACTCCCTGAAAGCTGCAATGCTGGTATTAACAAAAAACCAAACCGAACAAGCAAAATCTCCACAGGTTTCTAGGAAGTTGGTCCTGATGGAGCTCTATCCTTTGGATGTAACAAAGGATCCAGGTTCCTTCTGCTTGCTGCCTGGTCCAAGATCTTACCACACTTTGTAAGAAGAACAGCAGATGTCCCATATCTGGACACATGAATTACCTTTCCCTCATATGAAAACAGGTTCTGAAGTCAATGGGTGTATATGATGAATTTCTATTTTTTGTCACCACCTATGCCAAATTCTGAAGGAAGTTGGTGGGTTTCCCTTTACACTTATATGCAAGTGTACTTTGCACTTTTGTGTGAACACAACTGCCTGTTCGTATGGTCTGGACAGGCCAACAGATGTGCATTATGCGTATGTAAGAATGCAAACATCTTCAAATATCATGCCCTCAGCTATTTGCAGACAGAATGTAGACACTTCAAGTATAAGCTTCAGCTGACAGCTAGAGGGAAAGAAGGCAGGTCATGGGACTCTTCAATTTTCTCTTAATTTGCAGTTTACTCCAGTTCTACCCCTCTTAACACTGTGGCTTGAAGAGTCCTACATAGTATTTCCCTGAAGCAGGTTTCATCCTAGGGATAAGAAGGTGAGGATCCTAAGAAAATATTTTATTTTCCACGGTCTGTTCTTGTACCTCAAATTCCTTCTCAGATTACTTAACAGGGGTTTTTATTGAAAGTATTTTATTATGCACTTTTTCTCCCTCCATTGCAAATGAAATTAAAAAGCAGTAATTTTAGAACCTCTATCCCATGGTAACAAAAAAAAATTCTAATACTGTTACTAGCAGCAGTACTGGCAAACTGGAAAGCTCAGAGCATAAAATTTACTTACAAGGAACAGAACCCTGCAAATAAGTGGTCTACGAGGTACCTGTCTTACAGGCAGGATCAACATTCAACCCAAACATTGTGTTGTGCTCTCAAAGGCATTTTCATAACCTGTATGCAGAAATTTCCTTTGAAGAGCCTGGTACAGATCTACTTTGACAACTTCTTTCTTACCACTGAGGACATGATCAGAATTAGGCCATAGGGATTTTTATTAATATTGGGAAAGGGATTAATAGTTAGATATACTTCCAAGTTTGTGGAGTTAAATTAACATAAGCATACATATATACCAATCACATAGGTTTAGTCTTCCCCAGCTGGAAAAATTAGGTTGAAGACGGATGGAATTTGTTAAACCTAAGACCTAAACAGAAGGAGATAGATAAAAGAAGTGAACAGGAAGTCTTCTAAATAATCTCTCTGTCACTCTGGGATCTGTAAGACTTGCATAGTCCATATGACCTTTTCCCACCAGCATCAGAGAAAGAAGATTTCCACTACAGTTAGAATTTTCTGGTATTGACCAAGCCAACTTCCACCTTAAAAAAAAATCACTGTTCTAACATGACAGAAGAAAAATTCCACAATCCACAGACACAACAGATTTTTTTCTGCTCCGGCTAGACCCGCTGGAGCTACTGGCATGCACCACGTTGTCATGGGTCTACTTACACGCCTCCTTGCTCGTGGCGCTGGCTCGGGTGTGTTAGGAGAAGTGGATTCATTCGGTGTTTCTGAGGTTGAGCTAAGAGATGAGTTACTGCTTGAAAGTTCTTTGTTCTGCCTTTTAGTTCCAAACGGCAAGAGGAAGGCCACAAAATCTGAAACATCTTTTTGCTCTTCTTTCTGAGAGTCTTGCTTGAGCTTGTAGGCCCGGTCATTAGCAATCACTTGGGACAAGGGCATTCCAAAAGCCTGGGGAACAAATTCTGCAACAACAACAAAAAAATTAGTATTTTCTGAACATCTGATATTTATTTAGTACAAAAAGAATTAAGTATTAAGCTGTTAAAAAGAAAAACAATCTGAAGTCCCTTTAAATACATAATAATTCCAATGAGGTACTGGAAGCATAATAATAATAATAAACAATTGAAACAATAAAATAATAGTGGAGACATGCCAGGCAATTGTAGCTCATGGTATCTGAATCCTGTTTCCAGTTGGATCGTGCAAGATATACCACACGGAATCTTGGAAAATCAGCTGGGGACAGATCTAATTAAGATCTTAATGTCCACTGAAAGCAACTGAAGTCAGGCACCTTTGGCTACATCTAGATGGTGCAGAGGGCCATCAGAAGCTCCAGTAACCTAATCCTGAGACTGGGGAGCCTAGCTGGACCGTGCCACTGCTCTCTCATGTTTCAGACCCTTTCACCGGGTTTCTTTCTCACAAATGCTACAGGGCACCAGAGTCAAGGGGTACAGGCACAGGCATGGGTCTCATTACAGTTCAGGAGGGTAGCACCTACCTGCAGGAGCGTGTAAGTGCATCCACTATTCAGACTAAGCCTTCAAGGATATGGTTTTAATTATATACAAGAACTACACTGCTTTAACGTACTGGTAAGATTAAACCAGTTTAAGAGTGGTATTTCAGTATAAAGGTCCTTTGCAACAGTACAAAAACATATATGGGCATATAGAAATACAGGAGAATACAGGTTTCTCTCAATTAACAAAAAGAACATAATCCCATCCCACATCAGTATAACTGTAATGTACAAAACCAGCATATACTTCAGGTCTCAAAGTAAAATAGAATCATAGAATAGTTTGGATTGGAAGGGACCTTTAAAGGTCATCTAGTCCAACCACCTTGCAATGGGGGCAATGCTCAAACGTTTCACAAAACAGAAAAATGCTCTACAGTGATTCAGCCAACAACAACTAACATTGACATTCTCGCCATTAAGTTTCAAATCTAGACCTATCTGAGATTAGTAGAACCAAAACCACTGGGCCAGACTGCCAGCTGGAACTGTTTTATGCTCAAATGGAATGAAAAAATAGCTATTGACTCTGTTCATCCTGGTGAAAATGGGTGCAACTTCCACTAGGTTCCAGCTTCAGACCTGCCTGTATCAGGAATAAATAAAGCACCAGAGATTAAAAGCAACATTTTTTTTAAAGTATGAAAAAAGGAACAACAACAACAAAAAAGCAAACAAAAAAATCCTTATATACTCATCCTCTCTTTTGCCACAATTGTCTAAATGATTAAAGGCCAAAGCTCCTCCTGGGACTTAAAGTCTGACTATATCTTTGATGACACTTTAAAATTTTATCTAGGCTTGCATTATCATTAAGATTAAAGTAAGGCATTGAAAAGAAGAGTATATTTTATGAATCTTGAATGAGGACACTATTAGCCTATCGTACTAAAGAGACAAGGGCCTGTTGTTCTGATATGGTGAGAAACATTACTGCTCTTCAGAAGTATGAAATGTTAAGACATGAACTAACTTTGGTGTCCAGACGAAACTAAAACAGGAAGCAGAGCCTCACATATCAAGCAAGTCTGGAGGTGACCTGTGAGTAGAATGACATCTAAAACCATCTGCATTTAATTTAGGACAAGAAAGAACATCACATGGGTATCAAGCAATGCGGGGATTGCCAGTTCCAGCAGTCCAGAGTTAGACCCGTCCCTCCTGTACCCAGCAGAGTGTGCCTATAAAATGATGAGAGTATTAGTATTAAAGACTTTTACTGTTCTGAATTATCTTCCTAATGAACATTTAAGACCACAAACTTGAAACACACATATGCAACATGTCTCCCCTTCTGGCTGTCTAACCAGGTACTTTGTTATACCTCTATCATCCCTATTTATCTGTCCTTATACAACATTTCCTGAGAAAAGCCACTGAGCCAAATGAAATCCTGAGCATGAAATATTTCTCGGGTTTTGGCCCACAGACACTCGTGCTTCAAATTGGGATGGGACAGCAGTATGTAGCCCAGTGATGCCCAACAGCACACTGATGCCATTGATCAGCACTAGGATCAACTGGGACAAGATCAGCAGGAGATGAGATCTCAGCACTGCTTCATTAAAGGAATTTCATTAAAATAAACCTCCCCCTGACTTTGTTATGTAACGGCTAGTATTTTGAGGCAGGTGTTGCTTCTCCTTGAAAACCTCAGGTGTGGGATGCTAGGTTTTTAATTGCTCTTGCTCAACATGCCTGTGTAGCAGTGAAAGGACACTGAACCTCTGCTGCTTTGCTGTAGGCCTCCTTTTCAGAGGACATGAATCACTTGCCCGATTTCTCAATGTCTGGCAGAGGTGGGGAACTGGATGAAAACCAACTGGCTGATTTTCAGACTAAATACAGATGGAAGTGATGCTGGCTGGCAGTAGTAATTACGTTAAAGAATTGGCAAAACCAGTAACTTTTTGCTCGTTTGTTGAAATTAAGAGAATTGCTTGCACCCTCTGCAGATTGGCTACAGCCTGAAGTTCCCACCAAAACTAGTGTGTGTGTGTGCCGTGGGGGGTGGTGGTGGGGAGCATGTTTTGCCCACCATTCTTCAGAAGTACTGAATTCCAACAATTTTGTTGTTGGACAGGTAATGTCATGTCCATTAGAGTGAATGCTAGCCCTTTTGACATTTCAGATTCATTAAAAAAATAAGACTTGTAGTCATGCAAAGTTTTAGCAACCAATTGATGGGGGAGAAAGGGCACTGACTCAGATGTAAGATGTGTAGGTTTGAGGCTCTGGTCTCACAATCAAGCTAAAAGCTCCGACTGCCTCTTTCCTGCTGTAGGCTGGGGATCCCTACTGTTGGAGATGTTTAATTTGTATGAAGAAATGCTCCTTAGAGCACGGGCTCAAAACTTTGCTCTGTTGTACACACACTGAGTGCCAAAGCTACTAAGTTAGTTACTCTCTGTAAAACCAACAAAAATTTGACCACTTATTCACTCATCAGAGTGGGCAGCTTAAAAAGAAATTTTGCAGAAAGCACCATGTAAAAATGCGAAACAACCTGGCAGACTGGGCAATCAGTGTGGAAATGCAGACTCATATCCTTAGCCCGAACAGCAGCATACAAGGACTTGACTTTTGATCCATTCTATTCTTTAGTGTTTACTGGCACAGGAGACAACTTGCTATTTTGGAGAAGTGCACAATTTCTTTTACCAGAAAGTCCATCTTGCAGCTGAGGAAAAGTTTCTTAATAAAATTTTGATCGAAACTGGTATGTTCCCAAGAAATCTTTCTGTGATGGCAAAATCAGCATTTTCTAATAAAAAGCAGCATGTCACAGAAAAACTCCCAGACAGATCAAACAAGAGCTTCAGTGACCAGAAATCCTCCTCTTTGCTAATCAAATGATGATATGCAGGATGGTGACACATATGGTTACCTTACTTGGCCTCACGCCACCCCGTCCAAGTATAGTTTCGAAGACTTCTCTGAAGTTTCAGCTGGTGAAATTGTGGTTTCCATCCCACAAACCATAGCAAGTCTATTAAGAGCCAGTGAGGTCTACATTGTGGTTTCCATCCCACAAACCATAGCAGTCTATGAAGAGCCAGTGAGGTCTATACTCTAGACCCTAATGAAGCTTTCAATGTCAATAAAGTGGACAGCATACAATACAGCAACTTTGGATAGTCTCTTTAGCACTTTGGGTTTTTTTTCTTAAGTATAGCTTAAGTGCTGGTTTTGAGCTGCTAAAACCTTGTGACCAAGATCTAATAAGGTGCTTGTACTACCTCTATTTAAATGATAGGGACAGAGTGGGAGACAGCTCAGAGAATAATATGCTTTAAAAGGGATATTTAAATGAACTTAAAGGGGTCTTTAAATCAACCTCCCCAGCTAGCCAGACTGGGTAACTCCATTTTGCTAACTGAAATGAATTACTTTGGATCCATAGAGGGAGTGATGGAATGAAGAAAATAAGGAAAATGGAAACCTCAATCCATAAGGGGAACGGCAAAACTCCCTCCATCTGAAGGTTCGTCAAAACCCTGCACTGACTCCAGAAGACTCGAGATAAGACAAATGTTCTCGCAGCATCAGCTCTGTGGCTGAAACTCCCCTCTCCAGCTAGTCGAAGCTCGCTGACCTTCAAGGAGTGATATAAAGTCTCTGCAATTACTTAGGCTTTTTCTGTGGGTAGGTCTTTGTTTCTTAAAAAAAATTGAGAGGTTCTTCAGTCCTTTAGTTGACTTTAGTACAAAATATGACAGTGTTGCTTAAAAAAACCTTTCATATGCCTAGAGAGCATGAGAAACATTTTTGAAGTTTTTAAAAAAGCAGAGTGGGGTGCTGGAAAGGCTTGAGAAAAACGCTTTTCTGATAAACTATAATAAAAAAGAAACTTAATCTATTCAGCTCTCTCCTTAGGCTGTGCCAAGGCATTCTAACATCATGATAGGTTGAATTACTGAAGAACAAATGCAAACATTAAGAAATACCTCTACATTTTCTAAGCATGGCTGGGAAGTGAACATGGAAGAGTTTTCAAGAATTTTGAACTAAAGAAAAATCAAAACATCTACTGCTGGATCTGCATATGCCACAGAGTTACCAGGAAGGCCTTTTCTCAGAAATCCCAGCATATACAGCAGCTCTGCTAAGGCCCCATGGATGAACCTGTCAACTATTTAGATTCCACATAGAAACACCAGCAAAAGGGATGATTCTCCATTGCTCAACAAATCACGTAACAAGCGATTATTATTTCTGAGCAGGTCTCTCAGTTCACCTGTAGGGTTTACTGGAACCAAGGCAAAATGGAGCTGGTTTACTGATAAAATCTTCACAGCAGCTCTGCTAAGGCCCCATGGATGAACCTGTCAACTATTTAGATTCCACATAGAAACACCAGCAAAAGGGATGATTCTCCATTGCTCAACAAATCACGTAACAAGCGATTATTATTTCTGAGCAGGTCTCTCAGTTCACCTGTAGGGTTTACTGGAACCAAGGCAAAATGGAGCTGGTTTACTGATAAAATCTTCTA